AGTGGGGCACACGCACGGACCTCTAGACCAAAGGTACTCCGTGGTCGCAAGCGCGCTGGCCCAATGCAACGTGCTTCAATGTCCTAAGGACTGAATAAGACACATGACAGTTACGATGGTAGTAGAGTTGAAATCAAAGAGCTAATGTGTGCTGCTTCAAAGGTGATGGATTTTGGAACTTAGAGGTTTGTTTTTTTTGGTAGGACTTTGTTGAAGCAGTACGCCGGCTTGTGACTCCAACAAGAAACCGGAAGTTGATCGTGGAAGTTCTGAGTGGTGCCTTGAACTTCAAGGTGTACTTGGAAGGGTTGGATGTGGTGATCACGGGGCTCACGCCCAACCCGCGTGGACTGCAACCGCAGATGCATACCAACCACTGCTGGCGCTTTGTGCGCAGAATGGAGCCTTGTTATTGTACCTTGAGAGGGGGTCACGGAGGGTTTGGGTGGTTCAACAGCCAAACGCCACTAGGTGCCCTTCTTTGGGTCCATGGAAGAATTTGGAGAGCAAATAGCTTTGCGCAAGTCTTTTGAAGACTCAACTAAGAACAAGTGTGATGACTTGGGTCTTTTCAATTTGTCTACACTATGATTGAAAAGGAACACGACCTTCAAGTGGGAACACCTACCATGCCCACTTAGGATTGTAACCACAAAGGTGGTTCCTAGTGGTTGGGTTTGGTTGAGTTCCAATTTTGTAACATTTTGGAGAGGTGCCCCTGGTGGTTCCATTCCATACCCTGCTCCATGGTCCAATCTGTTGGTGTTGAGACCCTCTGGTCCAGTCTGCGGAGCTAGGACTTGCCAACCTATGACTATGATGGCGAGGTTCCATGGCAGGTCACAGAGTTCACAGACCAGGTTGGGGTGGCTAAACTAAGCCAATTGTGCAAAATCATTTGTGGATGGTAATGATCAAAAACACATTGTGGCCTTGGTTTGTTTGTTGGTTGGTTGGTTGGTTGGTGGGTTGGTTGCTTGCTTGCTTGCTTGCTTGGTTGGTTGGTTGGTTGGTTGGATTGATGTTGTTGTTTGCTTGTTTGTTTGTTTGTTGGTTGGTTGGATGGTTCGCTGGTTGGTTGGTTGGTCTGTTTGCTTGTTTGTTTGTGTGTTTTCTTGTTCACAATGTGGGGTCCTGACAGGAGAACACCAAGGATGCAATGGATGTGGTTATGCTTTGCAAGGAATGGGTGCATTCTGCTTCGTTGTCACAACCACCCTTGCTCATCTTGCCCAAGAGCTACCTCAAGGCTTTGGATGGGGTGACTTTGAAAACCCTCCCACGCAAGGAGTTGAACAAGAAAGAATGTGAAGAGCACCACAGCTAAAACACAGAAGGGGTAGGCGGGGTAGGTTTTGTTCAAAGGACACTTTAAGGCTCTAGGGTTAGCCATTTGCCTGGGTCAAGGTACCTCCGGACAGCAAAATGTGTGGAAGCAGAGCCGTGGTTCTTGCAAAGTGCCTCAAGTTATTTGAGAGCGTTTGTGGATCCTTCAACCAAATTAGGGTGATGCTTTGCCTTTCCTTGGTGGGCTTAGGGTGGTTATGTTCTGGGGTGGCATTTGCTAATGTAGTTGGGGACCGGGACCCAAGCCAAGGAAAACAACAAGCAACAAAGCTTCCCAGAAGCGGTGATGCCGGTATTCTTCTTCACACATATGATGGATGAGAAGATTCCTTCACCTGAAGGGTTGCCAAGCTGATTAATTTGCTTTTTTCTTTGGCTCTTGGGTATGGAGGCCCTCATGGCTCCTTTTTTGCCTATGGATATATTTTGGGTGGATTTGATCAGTTGAGGTGGAAGCGATTTGCCCCAGGGCCAGTACGTCTGATCTCTGCAGCGGGTTTGCAAGATGCACAGCGGGTGCAGGTTGCTGCAAACCAGAAGCGGCTTCGTGAAATCCGTGCTCGAGCAGTTGCTAGCCCAGTGAGATCAAATGCTTTGCCTCTTCCTCCACCTGTAACAAATGGCAATGAAGGTGAAGTTGAGGGGGGAGGTGAGGGTCAGCTTCCAGCTGGTCGCACATTGGGATGCACAAAGTGTAGATTCCAAGCAACTGGCTGCAAGCAATGCAGAAAAGTAGGCTATACTCCTCGGGGTAAAGGGGGTGGCAAGGGCAACATGCCTCAGCCAAAGGGGAAGGCCGCAGCAAAAGCAAAGGCTGCAGCAAAAGCTGGAGCCAAGTCCATGGGGCGTGGACGTGGCCGGGGCCGTGGCAGGGGGCAGCAGCAGCCTTCCTGATATTCTTAGTTTGGGGTAATTTTGGATGTGAAAGCTGGTGGAGTCTCCAACTCACACTTACTTTGTGTCAACTCTAGCAATGTTGGTTGTGTTGATGAAAGCATAAAAGCCAGCAAACATGTCCGCAATATGGGGTGCCGGGTCAAAACGTCAAGGGCGAAGCAACCTTTGATGGACCAAACAAACAATCGAGTTCTCATTGAAAAGGAAAACGCATTTGCTGCAAACGTTGTTCACACAGGTAAGGTGGAGTGAGGATTGCTGAATTTCATTGGTTTTGCACATGTCAGGAACTGCAGATGCTTGGTGATGGTGTCTTGCGGAAGGGGGGTATACACAAACTAGCTAGAGGGTTGACATGAACAGAATTGTGCACAGGATTGGGCCCAAGTGTTGTTTGCTTTAGGGGTCCAGTCCAATGGCAGCCCTCCCTCCTGATGATGATGGGTCCTTTGAATTGGCTCTTCCCGGGGTGAAGGACAATGCAAGTCCAAACCCTAAGAGCAAGAAAAAGGGCAAGGCGAAGGCCAAACCGAAGAAAACTAGTGCCCAAGCCAAACCAAAGACTGAGAAAAAGAAAGGGAAGGACAGTGAACAGGCTCAGAGAACAACAGATATTGCAGAGGGGCAAACATCTGGAACCAAGAAGCCCAAGACGGAGGCTGGACAGGACTACTACGATCATGCTACCACCTTTCCTGGACAGTCATTAGGTTGCATTATATAAAGGCTCTTGGGTCCAATTCAATGTCAATGCTGTTTGGATTTTGCACAACTGGGGGGTTCACATTAAAGGGCTTGAATTGGTGGTGAGGCCATCCATTCCCTTTGCAGATATTTCCGCGGAGTTGACAACTCTTCGTGCTGTGGAACCAAAGCGACGGTGCCACTTTTGGGAGGTCTACAGCAGGCCACGCATAGCTCCAGTGGCTCGGGCACTGGGAATGCGGGCCCTCAGGAGCATTGATGTTTTCTGGCTGGTCAGCTATCATGTTTCAATGTTGTTGTTTGTTTTTCTTTTTTCTGATGGAAATAAAATAACATTTCAGGTTTGTTGACAAGTCATGGTCCACACCAAGAGCACCAAGGTGGACACCTTTTACGACCTGACTGAACCTGCAATCCAGCACGTGCTCCTGAGTGACTTCCTGAACCTTCAACCGTTCTTTTCAATGCTCTCCCCTCCTTGCACACACCTCTCACAGTATATGTTCAGCAACTGGGGCAAAATGGACCCACTCACCAAGTATGACTTGTTGCACAAGGGCATTGGGCACATTGATGTTTCCTGTTGGATTTCAACCATTCAGGCAGCAACCAAGTCGTACTATTGCATCGAGAACCCTGAAGGATCACAAGCCTGGAACCGTGCAAATGTGTCCTGTCCACAGTCAGAAGGGCTTACTATTGTTATATAATGTTATATTGTGTTGTATATATATATATGTTTTTTTGAAATAGATGTGTCAATATCCAAATAGATATGTGATGATATGTCAAGAAGGGAAAGAAATGTCCAGCAAAGTTTCTTTGGGGAGAGCATTTTATGGATCATCCAGGTGAAGGAGCTACCGGGGATGGTGAAAGTCATTTTTGACCAGTGCCGCTATGGTTTGGTATCCGTTGAGAGCAAAACACCAATCAAGAAGCCAACAGTCTTTGCCACAAATTGTCCCGCCATCATACAGGAGTTCCAAGGCAAGCGCTGCCACGGAGATCATGAGCATTGCCGCTTGGAAGGGTCCGAGGGCGGACAGAAACGAACGAAAGCAGCACAGGTGTACCCGTCCCAGCTTTGCGATGCTGTGGCCAGATGTGTGCTGTGCCAGTGGCAGGCCGATCACCCAGGGGAGTGAAAGGCCCCAGGCACTTTTGCCCAGTGATGCGGCATCACTGTGATGCCAATTTTGAGTTGGTGGGGGAATTTCCAGCTCAGAAGACAGCTGAGGAGATGGAGACCCAAATCATCGCGACATAAGAAAAAAAGGAAAATCTGCAGAACTCAACATCTCAAAATCAAACATTGAGTTAGGAGGTTTTCATCTGAAAACCCCCTAACTCAGATGTGGAAAGCCAAATCTGCAGATCTCAGCGTCCCAAAATCAAACATTGAGTTAGGAGGATTCTCAGGTTCAAAAGGAAGATAGGGGGTTTTCAGATGAAAACCTCCTAACTCACCTTCTCAAAATCAGATTTGGAGTTAGGAGATTTTTTTTTTCAGCAGATCTCAGTTGAACGACCCCAAATGGTCCGGCGGAGAATTTTCCATCAACCCTTGAGATCGAAGGTTTTCATCCGAAAACCTCCTAACTCCAGATTTGACGACCCCAAATGGTCCGGCGGAGAATTTCCATCAACCCTTGAGATCGAAGGTTTTCATTTGAAAACCTCCTAACTCCAGATTGGACGACCCCAAATGGTCCGGCGGACAAGACTGGTTTTCAAGAGGTGTTTCTTTGCAAAGGGTTGCTGTGTATCTTTATCAGCTTTTGGCACCGTTAGTGTGGAGCTGACAGCCAGCTTTTGATAGCCTGACTTTCAGCCTTGGTGAGGGAGGGGGGCCATGGAGGAAAGACCCTTTGAAGGCATAAGAGGTGTGGAGAATGGCTCAATTGCTTCCATGGACTGGAGAGAACACTAGCTGATAGTAATAACTTTTTCTAGTGACGGAAGTCTGGTGTTGTTATCAATTGGTAAGACTACTTTCTCTGTGGCTTTTGTTGCTAGCGGAGGAGCGGGATGAAGTGGCCAGCAGTTGCATGGCATCAGAAATTCAACCTCCATCGGACACAACCACACAGCTGGAGCAATGGGATTTGGTGACTCATGACTCTGGGCAAGATCAGGATAAACATGAGAAGTTGGCAAACGTGGTCTATAATGAGATCAAAGGCCCAAGTTACCATGTTGAAAGCAAAACGGATTGAGTTGAAGTTGCTATGTGGCTATGTGATACTTTTTAGAGTTAACACACACATATATATATAATATTACAATACAGTAAATTATGTAGGTTGATGCAGTTGCCCTGCCAGGCCATGGTGGTCCGAGGCAATACCTTCAAGCGACATATCCGAACCAAGCTCTGCGGAATGAATTCTATACTTGGATTGCATCAGAGGTTGGGGAAGATCCTACTCAAATGTATGCCTTGAGGTACAGTGACATTCCAATTGCCAAGCCAAAGCAAGAGGGCTCGGTGCAACCTGTGTGCGTGCCTTTGTCCCAATTTTCCTTTGCTGATGATGCTGGGTTGACGGGTCCACCAGAGCTGGAGAAGGCTCGCCTTCTTCTTGGGATTCTTTGCAGCTATGGGTATGACGTGGAGGAGCCAGTGAAAGTTCGTTTCCCAGCACCTTGTCTCAAGATAGCTTGAATACAGCAAGAGATTGCTGCAGTGCCCACTTGCACCAGCAAATGAATAGCAAACGAAACCTGTGAGGTGAATTGGAAGCCTCTTGATGAGATTGGGGTGGGGCAGCTCCTCTATCTGAAAGGGCAGCTTCGAATCTTAACCACCTTATCCATTCTGGCTGTGGTGCACCAACGCAAAGCGAAGTTGAGTGAAGCCTCTTGTCAATCCAAAGCCGGGGGTACTGTGGTACATGTTGAATATTGCCCTAACAGAGTCTTCCAAACATGTTCTAGACCCTTGTGGGACTAAGGTTCATGTTGGCTTGCAACAAAGCTTGCAGAGGATCTGGTGTGTGCATGTGGAGTTGACCAACCGCCAGGAGGAACTGTTGCTGGACTCATTACACAAAGGGTTTGGAGGGTCAAGCAAACATACTTATACTTACCAAATGGGACACAAGTTGTGCGCCACTTCACTTCTCTGGGGAACCCTGTGGTGGGCGTTCTGAGGTTCTACAACTTGCGAGTGGCTGTCAAGGGATCAGTTCGGACAGCCCCCACGGCGGTAACTTGGGTCAACAGCTTGCTAGAGCTAGCCAAGACAGGCGACAAAGACCTACAAGCGACTTTGAATGCATGGAATGCACAGGCCCCCAAGTCGGACAAGGTCACTGGTCAAAAGTTTCTCACTGTGAAGAACCTTTTGGACCTTCCTTCAGAGTGCAGACAAGCTATGTTTGCCTACATCAACAAGTATGGATTTGACAGTTTCTTGTGCTGCAGTTGAATTTTGTCAGGCAGTTCCTGCAACACCTCTGCTGCCATGTTTGATGGGTCTGAGGCTCACCCTACACGGAAGATCTACTGTCGAGCAAGAAACTTTTGGTGAGCTTCACCTTCAAAACTACAAAAGTGCCTAAAACGTCACCTTGGGCGGGGCATTGGGCAAAGGTGACCAAGGAAGCTTTGAACCTTTGGATCACGTGCTTGAATGCAAAATGGGACCGGAGCCAAAAGGGGGGCCGGAGGCAACCAACCAAAGCGGAGGGGGAAAGCCTTCTGGAGCAATGTTACTTGATTTATTAGTTGCGCTAGGTCCTGGAAAGTTGGTTGTGTGCCATTAACATATTCTTCCCAACCACTCCTAGTGGTGGCTTGTGAGGTTGCTTGGCAGTGGGCTTCAAGAATGATGTTTGCATCGCTGCCCCCAAACTCGAAGATTTGGTGGAGAAGGAGTTTCTGGGAAGAATTAGTTATGAGTTGAGTGCAAAGGCATACTTATGTAAAGGAACCGTGTAAGGGTTCATGGCTGAGGTGGATGAGCCGGATCCGAGAAGCAGATCCATCAGCCTTGGCGGAGCTTTCTAATGCGGTGTCTGTGAAAGATGCCAAGTACTCGATCCGGGACAATCCAAGTTGCGGAGCAGCAAGTGTTTCTTCTGTCACTGAATTGGGGCTGGTTCCTTGGTTGGGGGTAGCTGAGGTTTGAAAACGATCTTGGACAACTTTGCTCAGGATAAGGCTGACCCAACCAAGCCTGTCTCAGCCATGGTGGATTTGATGGATCAAAAGCAGAAACAAATTGACAAGTCAAACTTGGAGCTGTTGATGAATGAGCTTTTTTTTGACTTAGAAAGTTTCAAAGTTTACCGGCAGAAGGTGGTTCAGTGCATGTCAAACCGAGCTCGAAAGACCCAAGAGTGGAAAGGCCAGGTAGTGCAGGATGCCCAGCAAGCTGTGGAGCATTACATGCAAACTCATGCACCTAGTCTTTTAGAAAGCAGGATCGAATGGATAGAACTGATGGATATTCACAGGTAAGGCATGACCAGTAGCAATGTTTCTTTGAGGTAACTATCAAGACCTGGGCTACCCAAGATCCTGGTGCAGTGGCCATCACGGAGTTGAAGAAGGAGGTGTCTCAACGTGGACGAGCCCTCCAAATTGTAGATGATGGATGTGTGTCTTGATTAAGGGGATTGGGTTTTGTTTCATGGAAGGTGGAGCCTTGTTCTTGGGCGCACGGTCATGCTAAATCACACATACTTTGCGGTCCCAGGCGATTGTGTCCTTGATGAACTTGAGCGCACCGGCTCTAGTGGCCGCTAACCACATGCCGGCAATTATGCATGTTGTGGGGTACCTGCTTTCGGATGATGTGAAGAATTTGGGCCTTGCTTTGATGCCAGTCTACAGCTACACCCGGAACTTCCTTTGGAAGGAAGAGTCAATGGTGATGGAGTGGATTTCTGGAACTGGAGCTCAGTGTGACAAGCAGTGGTTTCTCCAATTCTTGAAGAAATGTGTTCCTTGGGTTGCAATTATCGAACAGGACAATAACTTACCGTCTTGAGTCTTGGTATCCAACAGGTTAAAGGCTTGGTGATTGTGTATCCAAGACCAACTAATTGAGTCCTTATATATATATATATAGTGCTCAAAGGTAGTTTATATTCTGGGTAGATTGAGGCTCAAAATAGGACATGAACAAGACAGGGTGCTTGAGTGAAGAGTTTTTACTGTTTCTGTGGTATGTGTTTATAATATATCTATGCACCTGCAAGCTGCAAGCCTACATGAGGGGCATGTTGCTCAAGCCACCAGCAAAACTTGACCTCCCACCCTGGGATAAGGACCTTCGAGATGAACGGCTGTTGATCTACCCTGGACGTGTTCTGGTGCCAGCTTCAGCCCTAGCATCAAAGATGTTCTGGAAGAAATCAAGCCTCTTTACTGATGGCAGGACTCAACAAGCGGCCCAGCTATCTGGGAAGGAGATGCGAGTCATTGAGAAGGTGGGAGATGGGCACCTACCGGGATCCACCGATGCAGATTTCACTGTTAGGGCTGCATTGAAAACTGCTCAAATTGGTGGGGATGCTGCATCGAAGATCTTCAAGTTGCTCACAGCTACTTAGTTGCACCATTACTTACGGTGTGTGTGTGTGCAATACAGTTGCAAGGTTTGTGGCAATGCAGGGACTCATTATGTGCATGTCTTACTTCATGTTACAGTAATTGCAATTGTGAGGACGGCATGCAATTCAATGCCCAAACCCTCGTGGAAATCATTGACTTCATTCCAGTGGTGGGAAACAGCTTTGAGGCCGGCCTTGGGTTCTTGTATTTCATGGAGCAAACAACCATCCTTTTTTTTTGATGTTACATATTCAGAAATCAAAATTGGTGCAGGGCTATGTCGAGATGCAGCAGGCTGCAAACTTCCCATGCCACCTCACGATGTTTTGGCCTGATGAGCAAGCTGCGGAATGGTTCGAGGTAATTGCTATGGATCTCTTGCGGGCCAAATTCCGTGAAGGTTCCCTGAGAGTGCCTGGTTTTGACAGGAGCGGGTGGGTTGGACAAACATCTAGGGGTGGGGGTGGTACAGTTTGATGTTTTCAGTTGATGTATGCTTGGAGATTGGACCATATTGTGAGACTTGGGCAGTAAAACACGTGTTTGTGGATTGCAATTGGGGTTCAAGATCTTGCCAACACAATTCAACAATGCTGGAAGGTAAGACATGCAACAAACACAAACTAGATATATACTCAAAGATGTTCATGAGTAAATGACAGCTTCAGATCAGTCTGGGCTATGTCTCACCACGGTGGTGAGAGATTCACATGGTCGGTGCACATGCCACGCCAGTGGGAGCAATCGGATGCCAGGGCCAGTCAACCTACCCCCAGTGGAAAGCGATGGCATCCAAACCCAGAGAATCCTTATGAGCTGCAGCTTCGCCGCATCATCGATCAGAAGTGGGAAAGAGAGAAGCGGCGCCGGTCGAAGCGACGGCAAGAAGCTGCAGAGGCTACTTCGAATCAGACATCATCAGGGTCATCAGAGGACCCAGAGGGGGAGCCATTGGAGCAGAAGAAACCACAGCCAAAGAAGATGCCCTTTCAGCCAAAGGTTCTTCCCAAGAAGATGCCGGTTGAGTCAGTGCAGCCTGTGAAAATTCTGCCCAAGAAGATGCCAGTCGATTCCCACAAGGTTCTGCCCAAGAAGAAACCCATTGAGCCCAAAGCCACAGACCTTGAGCCCAGGAAGGTCCAGATGTCCATGGAGCCCGAGCAGACGGTCCAGGAGCTCATGGAGATGAAAAAGAGGTCCATGGAGCCAGAGAAGGTGCCCATTCCGTTGCTCAACCCTCCCCAACAGGCAACGGGGCCTGAGTTTGAAGACTGGTGTGAAAAACATGCTGAGATGGCCAAGGAGGGGATGCAAGAGTGGTTTGCTCAACCATGTCAGAGTGAGTTGGAGAGGCGCATGAAAGAAAACTACTTGTGGTACCAGTGGAAGAAGCTTTTCACAAAGGATTCAACGGGTTTGACTCTTTTCAGCGTTGGAGTCAAGTTTTACTGTGCTACCTCATTGATGGAGTTAGGGTCAATAGGTGCTATTCAGCTAAGCCAAGTTGTGTGGAGTTGCTGCCAGCCAAGGAGTAGCAGTTCGGGAGCAGCATCGCGCCATCATCCACACCTTTGAAGACTGCCAGGACTGCGCATTAATACTTTTTGGGGGACGTGCATTGTGCATAACAAGCTGGGAGGACAACCGGTGATGGAGCAAAGAGCCTTCAATGACTATGAATGCTTTGGATGATGCTGGGATATGATTGGGGGTAGGTGCTGTGTTTGAAAGATCCGAAAATAATCCAAGAGCTTCAATGAATGGTTGTTTGCATTCACAGATTCTGAGGAAGTGGGGACAGCCGGACAAGCCTTTTAGATTTTAAGATGCTGCTTCGAGCAGGGAACAAAACATGTGACATTGCACAGCTTTTTGTGTCTTGGATGAGTTGTTTAGTTTGCTGCCAGCCTCTTGGCCTAGCAGCAAACATGAAGATGTGTGCTAGCTACAGAGTCTGACAGGCAAAACACCGACTGAAATCAACATTTTGGGTAAGGTAGGATTGTTTTGACTCTGCAGGAAGGCGGCGGAGCCACCAGAGCAAACCATGGATCCTTTGCCATCGCTGCCTATTTTGAAGCGGCTCGTATTTGTCAAGGACTGGGTGTGCGGTGAGACAAAACACATTATACAGGTAGAAGAGTTCTTTGCTCTTTGGCAATCTCTGCAGGATGAAGATGGTGTGGCTACAACTCCGGGAATTCCGGAAGATCTCATGAAACAATGGTCAGATAATGATCAAGTCAAACAGTTTCGTGATGACTTGGTTGACATGTTTGGCACTTTGGAAGATGCCAAGGCAACTCCCCCAGCCAAGCGATCAGGATCTCATCTCGAGGAACCATCTACTACCAAAAGGGGAAGGGCAGTGGGACCTGAAAGCATTTCCAAGTTGGAGGACCTCAAGGGAGAGGAACGACACAAGGCAGGGGGTTCATGATTTGTTGTGGATGTGACAAAGGTTTCTTGGGTTGTGGGCCTTCCTGGGTGAATGCCTTGATCAGGTGGTGGTGCAAAATATCCGCACTACTTCAACTCCTCCATACTTGACCATTCGCAGTGGATCAGTGATAGCGCTGGTGAATGAGGGTGATTGCTCGGTCACTTGGTGCTGGTTAAGACATGTTGAATGGCAGGAAGAGTTCTTGAAACGTTGACAGTGTATAGTATATATATATATATTAAGTATTGGTATTGGTATTTTATGCCTTTTTGTAGCATACAAGGTCAAAGTGCCGCTGCATGCTTTGGTTGCTGGCTTTGGGCGTGGCAAGTTTCGGGAGATCAAGCTTGACGGAGGGGAGGAGGGTGCGCTCAACCCTGAAAAGGAAATTGCTTTTCACTTGGAAGACTCAAGTGACTTGGTCCTGTTGGAAAACAAGGCCACCACACTTTCAGAGGCGGTGACGGCCCGCAACGATTCCACGGGCCAAGCAGCAATTGCCTATCACACCATGGTCAACAAACCTGGTGAAAGTGGTTTCTCACTGAAACAGGACAGATCATTGGTTCAAGGTTGCTGTACATATTTTTTCCTGGAGTCCAGAAACTACATAAAACGGGAAGAACCACCTGGCTTGGGTAGAAGTACATGGGAGGGGAGGAGGCCTATTTTTGTTTGCTCCTGTGATTATGTGCAGGACCAGAAGATTGCCTTCAAACCTGAT